CATATCATCAACATAAAGTAATAGGATGATATAACTGGATTGATATCTCTTGAAGTAGCAACAGTGGTCAGCGTTGCACTTCTGGAAATCTTCCTTGTGCATGAAGTTATCAAACTTTTTGTACCATTGTCTTGGGGCTTGTTTTAGCCCGTATAAACTTTTCTTAAGTTTGCATACCATCTGCTCTTTCCCACTTTTATAAAACCTTTTGGCTAGTGCATGTATATTTCTTCATCAAGATCTTCATGAAGAAATACAGTCTTCACATCTAACTGCTCGAGATAAAGATCTTCAATTGCAACAATACTCAACACTGTTCTAATGGTATTGAGTTTCACAACAGGAGCGAATATCTCATTATAATCAACTCCTTCTTTCTGTTAAAAACCTTTGACAACTAATCGAGCCTTATACCTCTTGGAATCATCGTGCTCCTTTTTTGCTCGATATATCCATTTGTTATGAAGGGCCTTCTTACCTATGGGTAACTCAGTTAGTTCCCATGTCTGGTTTGAAATCAGGGATTGCATTTCATCTTTCATTGCAAGCCCCTACTTGCTAGCATCTCTGGTCTGGGATGCTTCATAATAATCTTCTGGTTCCCCATCATCAGTTAATAACAAATAATTCATATATTTTCTATTAGGCACATGTGGTCGAGTACTCCTTATTAGTGTAGGAGTTGGACAAGAAGGTTGTTGTATGTCATTTGATTGCGATGTACTGCCCTGTACAGTCTGTTCTTCTTGTTGCGGAGTACTTATGATAGTGTACTCTTGCATCGTACTGTCTGGGACATAATCTTTATCAATAAATGTAGATTCTTTTTGATTTGTTTCATAACTCTCAATTTTATGCCTATCTTTGTACATGACTCTCTCATTGAAAATTACATCTCTTGAACGAATAATCTTTTTTCTTTCATCATCCCAAATGCGGTATCCGAACTCATCTTCGCCATAACCGATAAAAGTGCAAACTTTTGATTTAGGATCAAGCTTATTTCTGCCTTGATCACTAATGTGCACATAAGCTACACAACCAAATACCTTTAAGTGCGACAATTTGATCTCTTTTCCGCTCCATACCTCCTCTGGTAATTTGTACTCCAATGGGGTTGATGGTCCTCGATTGATCAAGTAAGCTGCTGTATTGACTGCTTCTGCCCAGAATTGTTTTGGTAGACCTGACTGTATACGAATGCTTCTGGCTCTTTCTGTCAATGTTCGGTTCATCCGCTCAGCTATGCCATTATGCTGAGGCGTACCTGGCACAGTTCTTTCCATCTTAATACCATGCTCGTAGCAAAACTTCTTGAATTTGGTGTCCTCATATTCTCCGCCATTGTCGGACCTGAATCTTTTGATCTTCATACCTGTTTCATTTTCAACCCTAGCTTTCCATATCCTGAAAACTTCAAACACTTCGGACTTGTATTTTAGAAAGTAAACCCATACTTTCCTAGAGTGATCATCAATAAAAGTCACAAAGTACTGTTTTCCACCTATAGACTGGGTGGTTGTTGGTCCCCACACATCAGAATGAACAAGCTCCAATTTTTCTTTCATTGGAGTTCTTCCATATGTCTGAAAGCTTACCCTCTTCTGCTTTCCAAGTGTGCATTCTTCACACATGTCTAAATTCACAGATTTTAGACTAGGGATTTTTCCAATTGAATGCATGATCTTCATTCCTTTCTCACTCATGTGACCAAGTCTTTCGTGCCATAACTTGGAATTTTCATTTTCTGTTGCAACTGCAATCGAATAACACACTCCAGTTGTCAAATAGAGAGTACCATTCTTTTTACCAGGAGCAACTATCATTTCTCCCTTTGAAATCTTCCAATTATCACCTTGAAAGATTATAGTGTAACCTTCACGAGCCAACTGCCCAACAGAGATCAAGTTCTTTCTTAGGTCGGGAACATGTTTGACATCCTTCAGCTCCCAAACTGACCCATTTAACTTAATTTTGACATTACCTTGACCAACAATATCACAAGGTTGGTTATCACCAAGGTATACCTGTCCAAGGTTTCTATGGACATACTTCTCAAAAAAGTTTTTATTAGAAGTAGCATGGAACGATGCTCCAGAGTCTAATACCCAAGACTCTTCTTTGCTCTCCAATGAGCATATCAACGCATCATCACCTTCTCCGGTAGAAGTGACATTTGTCTCTGCCTTCACTTCTTTGCCTTTTGGTGTTCCCTTGCACTGATTTTTATAGTGCCCAATCTTTCCACAATTCCAACACTCCACAGTCTTTGAGTTTTGGAAATTATTTGGATTCCTGGATTTTGACCTCCTATCTCTGGATTGTCCTCGATAGTTTGATCTTCCGCGTTCATTCCTTCTGATTAAATTTCTTCCTCTTGACTCTGTATGAAATACTGAAGAGGATGAAGATTCACCTGATTCTCTTCGTCGAATCTCCTCACTAAGAACCAGATCACGAACGTCATCAAACTTCAACTTGTTATTTCTCGATGAGCTACTCACAGCTGTGACTGTAGCATTCCAACTATCTGGCAGGGAAGATAAAAGTATTAACGCTAATACTTCATCATCAAATTTGATTTCAACAGAACTCAATTGGGTTGTGACTGAATTGAGTTCATTAAGGTGTTGAGCTACCGATCCACCTTCCGACATCCTCAAACTAAACAACCGCCTCATCAAATGAACTTTATTGGAGGCTGATGGCTTCTCATACATATTAGAGAGAGCTTTCATGAGACCTGCCGTTGTGGTTTCCTTTGCAATGTTAAACGCCACATTGCGTGATAACGTCAATCGAATAACTCCAAGCGCTTGTCTATCTAAAAGCTTCCATTCTGCTTCTTGCATGCCATCTGGCTTTTTCTCTTCCAGAGGTTGATAGAGTTTTTTCTGGTATAAATAATCTTCAATCTGCATTTTCCAAAATCCAAAATCTTTACCATCGAATTTTTCAAGTTTAACTTCTCCTTTGTCTGCAGCCATTTCTCCCACTCAAATTTGACTTTTTCTTTTAGGATCGTTTTTATTTTTATCGTAATGTGGACTAATTGTCAACCAAGCTCTGATACCAATTGTTAAGAAAATAATGCAAATTTTCTATTTAATCAAATTTGAGGGAGAAATAAATTACATAAACAAAATGTCTATTTATACTAAAGTGCAAAAAACACAACTCCTCTTTTTTCTGAGTTATTTTTCTTCTCTCAAATTTTCTCTTGAAATTATTGCATACAAATGAAGGAAATGCTCAATTTATAGTTTTCCTAAAACAACCTAAACCATTTAAAATTTAGCCTGCAATATTTATTACCATTAGTTATTTTTCCCTATATTTGAAAACATCTTTAATTTTCAATGGTAATGCATGGTTATTTAATAACCATTTATTTTTTTTCTTTATGTTTCTTAATTATCTGCCAACATTTTTCTCCAAAACGAGCCCTCCGAGACCCCACGTGCTGACGTGACCCCAAGAGCTCAAACTCGAAACTCTATTTCTGCTATTTTGTTTGTGTAAATAAATTTATGCCTCCTTTGGTCTGATCAATTTTGGAGCAACTCAAGAAGCTTCGTATTTCTTATTCATCTTTCGGTCTTTCCTTGATGAGGAAGCTTGCATGCATTTTAGGCCTTGAAATGTGAATATTCCACTTTTTTTATTCCTCAATTTTGTAGTAACCGCAACAATTTTTTTTATTTCAGCTTTATACTTTCTCTGTCCCTATTTTTTTGCCCCATTTAATTGTGCACGGTCTCCAAACGCTTATTAAAACGTCTATATCCTTATTTCCATACACGTAAAAATTATAAAAACGTGATATTAATAAAATATACAATGAGACGAATCTAACAAAACCACTCATGACTAAATTATCTTTTATACATTAAAGGTAATTTATGGTCAAAGTTTTAAAGTTTGACCCTAAAAATGACAATGGGGCAAAATTAAAGGGACTAGGGGGGTAATAATTATAACAGTTTCTTATTTGGTAAGGACCCACTACTATTTTATTCCGTATTAATTTTCTCTCTCTGTAACTAACAATTAAATACTTCCTTTGTTTTTTATATTGCACCATTTGAACTTTTACACTGTGTTTGGATAAAGAAAGAGGAAGGAAAAGAAGGGGAGGGAGGAGAAGAGGATGGGAGGGAAAGGGAGGGGAGGGAAGAATGGTGAGTTTTCCTTCCAAATCTCTACATTGTTGGAGGGATCATTTTCCTACAATTTAATCTCTCCATTTCTCTCCCCTCCAATTTACTTCCTTCCTTCCTCATTTGTTATCCAAAGAAAGATATCACATCTCTCCTTTTCTCTTCCCCTCATTTCCCTCCATTTCCTTCAATCCAAACACATCGTTAAACTTTTCACCAAATTGTGTGATTTGGAAAAGAAAAAAAGAGAGAGAGAGAAAGTATATCCCTTCCAACTATACTTCATATTACTCCCAATTTACCCCCCACTCTATAATTTTTCTAAAACTATGTATCATGCATATTATTGCGAATTTGCGATTATACCAAAGTGGAGGGAGTAATAACTAGCTATAAGTCGTGTGACACATGATTTTTTTTTAATTTTGAAACAAATTATAAACATTAAATGAGAATTCCACACTAAGTTACCAAAAAAAAAAAAAAAATTAGAAAGGAGTATCGTTGTTGATTACATAAACCATAGTCCGTACCCATAAGCCATAAGTAGTTAGGATATGTGAAGCATAAATGGGAGCCGACGTGAAGTAGTGTGAAAAGAAAGGAATAATTTGGAATACTCGTAGAACACATAAGTGAGAATCAAGGGGCTGTTGGTAAAACAGAAGAAGGAGGACAAAGAAAACAACGTGGGGGTGTGGGGCCCTGGAATAGAAAAGCCTAGAAAAAAAAATCCATATGTAAGGTGGGAAGATAGCCACGTACGTAAGAAAGAGCAACCTGATGGGATCGTTGTCAAAACTCAAAATCAGATATGAGATAGAGTTGGTTATATAGTAAAGGAAAAGCAATCCCCCAACATACCATTCTTTAATTAGAACATAGTAACATAGTATTTCTCTAATTAATTAATTAATTGATAAAGAAAGAAAGAATTAAGGAGGAGGAGGAGGAGGAGATGGGCAGTAGTACTACTAAGAAGGAGATGGAAGTGGTGAAAGGGGTGGATCTAGAGCGATACATGGGAAGGTGGTATGAAATAGCATCTTTTCCGTCAAGGTTTCAGCCTAAAGACGGCGTCAACACCAGAGCCACTTACAAGCTCAACCCTGACGGAGCCACCGTCCATGTTCTCAACGAAACCTGGAGTGCCGGAAAAAGGAGTTCTATCGAGGGTTCCGCCTACAAAGCCGACCCCAATTCCGATGAGGCTAAGCTCAAGGTTAAATTCTATGTCCCTCCTTTCCTTCCCATCATCCCTGTTGTTGGCGACTATTGGATTCTCTTCCTCGACGACGATTATCAGTATGCCTTGATTGGCCAGCCTTCTCGCCGATATCTCTGGGTACTCACCTTTCTTCTTTCTATTTCTATTTTCTTTTAATACTATTCTTTTTTCTATTTTTTAATTGCAAATACAAAATACCTAACTACAGTAGCGTTTTTTAATTGCAAATACTGGTTTCCTGTTTGCATGTAAATTGTAAAACCTCCGATCGATCAGGCTCAAATACCGAATCATTATAGCATTTCAATATCATCAGTTACTTACAATAATACGAGTATTGTACTGGCCTGGTAAATTAGCTTAAAACATTGAATTATGAATCACTTTGGCTGTTTGATCCCTGAGCTTGAGCTTGAGCTTGAGCTTGAGCTTCAGTGGTGCAAGCCCACCCAAACCCAATTACGTGATTCAAGCTCCAATTGACTCAAGGGATGTGTATATCACCTTAATTAATTTGCTTGCTTGTTCAGAAAGTTGTTAGGACTGGTTTTGGAAATTATATTAACTGTTGTACTGTAAGTTGATTAAGACTTGTTATATGGGATTTGTTCAGCTAGCTGATTAAGACTTATTATGTGGGAAGTGATATATACATAAGCTAAGTCGAGTTTTGATTATAATAATAACGTATGTACAGATTCTTTGCCGGACACCTCATATGGATGAGGAGATATACAACCAGCTGGTGCAGAAGGCCACTGACGAGGGTTATGATGTCAGCAAACTTCACAAGACTCCTCAAGCTGACCCTCCACCGGAAGCTGATGATGCTCCCGAGGACACCAAAGGCGTCTGGTGGTTTAAATCCATCTTCGGCAAATAAATACAATGGATTTCCTACAACTGCAGTCCTGCATCTGTTTTCCCTTACTGCTCTAGTTTTGTCTGTCTCCAGTCTTGCATCTACAACTACTGGATTGATTTCTCTTTGCTTTGTGTCCTATAGTGCTGCTTGTAAATGGAATGCTCTATTTGTACTATTTATATCCTACTTTTCATTTACCTTCTCATGTCTAGGTGAATGTTAGAGTGTAGTGTTGTTGGAATGTCTGATGATCCTCTTGTTCTTAGCTTAGTTACAGTAGACATTCAGACTAAAGTTCCAATGTCTCCTAGAGTGAGAGAAGTTAAGATATTGGACCTGATGATGCATAAGCATAACCTCCCCTAGAGGCTAGAGCTTTGATAAAGTTTCCAATATAATCAATCGTGTATATTCCAACATTTTCGGCTTTATTTGGGCCTTTTGAATTCAATAAGATTCACATAGGCCCATCAGATATCCTTGTAAGTTATTTGAACTATCCGAAATCCAACGCTCCTCTATATCTAATGGGCCCATACCACCGATTTCCAACACTCCTATATTGGCTATTAGAGGTGAGCAAAACTTGGTGCCCTGATTAAAACAAAGAACCCGGTCCCTGAACCGGTTTGAACCAGGTCTGAGATTTTGGAATCAGTTCCGGAGCCGTTTAGAATTGGGTCCAGAATATTTAGAACCAGAATCAAAATGGGAGGGAATCAGTTTCGGAACCTGGTACCCAAGTAGTGCATAAGCATGAACTACTTTCTCCATTCTAAACTAGATGACAATTAACAAACTCTATTTTAACTAGCTTTTGTGATTTATTGTTAAGAGAAAACATAGTCATACAAGATCTTGTTGGAATCCTCTTATTGTGTATTTTCAAATCATCAACTTTTTATAAATTTGAATTTTTTTGTCAAAAAACTATTTAATATAAAACTCAGAATTTTTTGGAAACTTTCTAATTAAAAAAATATTATAAGAAATTACCTAATGGTAATATGTTGTAATAGGCTACCTCTGGCCGGATTTTTGTCATCGTCTAAATTTACTGTAATTGATACAGTTCTTCTTTTAACCACACTTCCCTCATTAAACACTTACTAAAGCTTTGGAGGGGGTTTAATTTCTCAAATCACCCCCTTGGGTTGTAAATTTTGCCATTTAGGGTGTGTTCTATTAACCTGATTTTCACTTATCTGAAGTTAACTGAACTAATATGAACTTATTCATACTTTTTGTAATTTGTAATTAGGTAACCTTATCAAACTTATTTTTCCTAAACTTAATTGAACTTATATGAATTATTAAACCTGTAATAAGTGAAACTAAAACTAGCAGAATAGGCTATTTTTTAATTATATATTCAAAAATGATACAAGTATGTGCTATCATATGCTATCAATTAGCTATTTTTTAATTACATTTTGATGTTTTATTAGATTTTTTTCACACAAGCTAAAGCTAGATTATTGGTTGAAAGTAATAAAAAGAATTATGTACTCTCCAACATTAAAAATAAAAAATAAAATAAAATAAAAAACAAAAAAAAAAAACACTTCGTATAATTTAATTTATAGGGCCCCAAAGCCCCTAATATATTAGTTTGTCCCGGACTTCCGAAATCTCAAAAACAGCCCTGGAGTTACCTACGATACTGAAAGCCAAGACATAAAAGTATCTACAAACATGCAAACGATGCAATGTCATTCACTCATTTCAAGAGTATGTAATAAGTAAATAAATTAAACCATCCTTGTTTTTAGGAACTGTAGAAATAGAGTCACTTCTTTATAATTTGTTAAAAAGCCTAAGGGGGGGGGGGGGGGGGTCGAGCTGTATCAACATTGCAATTCCCGCGAAATTAACACGCAAATTAAAAAGGTGGAGGGTCAATAAATAAAGGTAAATTAAGATATAAGGACTAGTGGTAACTATAGAATTTGAAAACCTGTCATCTTTGTTTAAATAGTAATCACATTTTATTTTATTTTTAATTTAGTAAATGCTGCATCCCTCCGCTATATCAATTAACGCCAAGAAGATTAATGCGTGGGAGTTATAAATTCTCCTGTTAAAAATAAATAAATTAATAAATAATTATTGCCATTGTATTTGTATGTAAGAGCTCCTCATCGTTGGCCATTGTGCTCCATTAACATTCCTTTAATTTGGCCAATTTTTATTTATCATCTTCTTTGTTGAAACTCGACGGGGAACGTGTTTTTGGAGCTAGCTTTCTTGTTTTGTATTGAGATCATTGTAAGTCTACATTCTTCTTCCATCTCTTTTCATTTAAATTTTGTTTTCTTATTCAGCTTTCATTTCCATGTTTTTCATTTTATCCTTGGGCATTTAGAGATTTACAATAACATACATCCATGTACGCAAGTAAATGCGCGTCAAATAATTTCTAAGCAACAATTATTATAACATCAAACTGTAAGGATTTTATCAAACCTTACATATGACTTTGTGAAGGAACAAATGTGGAACGTTTTTTTTTAGAATTGCAGCAGGATCGGGTTTCATGATATTCTTAGAAAATTACAGCAAGATCAGATTTTATGGTTTATCACCTGTGTAAAAAAAAGGCAATAAAAGCAACAGGCAAACTATGTTAGTAATAAAAAAATGTATGTTTGCTGTTTCAGGTTCGACTGCAGATATTCTTCCTTTTTGCACTGAAGAACAGAAAAACGGTAATTTTGGTTAATGGAATTTATTTTTGTGTATATGATTTTTGGCTAACTTAGTTAAAAATATAGTTATTCTGGGAACGCTCACAGGGAGCAAAATCAATCAAGAGAATCAATAAAATGATAAAGTATTTGGTGGTAGCATTCCTCTTGATTGAGTTAATCACAGCACAGAAGCATCCTAGAAATCCAGCCCCCCCTACATGGTTGACATTAACTGGTAATATATGTCTTTGAACTTAATCCTACACAATTTTCTCATCCATAAAAACGCAGGCATGCAGAACGAATAATGCTATTCTGATATATGTATGGGGTGTAGGGAAACAGCCTGATGTGATAGCAAGGGGAGGATTTTCCGGATTGTTTCCTGATTCGAGTCGATATGCATATGACTTTGTGTCACAAGTGAGCTTACCTGATTCCATTTACTATTGTGATCTGCAACTAACCAAGGATGGCGTAGGCTTCTGCCAAACAGAGTTAAATCTTGACAATTCTACCAATATAGCCAACCTCTTCCCGAAAGGCCAAAAAACATACAATGTTAACGGAAAAGATATGCGTGGATGGTTTGCTATTGATTATTTTGCAGATCAGCTTTTACCTAATTTAACCTGTAAGTCATTCACATGATATTTCTCTATTTTTTCTCTGGTGATTCTGATTTTTGGAGTGTTATTTTTTTTGCTGCAAAGTATCTAAATTGACTCCACAAACCATATTGCTTCTTTCTTTGTACCTTGCAGCTGTCCAGAATGTACTGACTAGACCCAATGCTTTTGATGGTCAACAATTACTGATAGTCGAAGATGTGACCTCTATTAGCAAACCACCTCCAAGAGTCTGGCTAAATGTTCAGGTTAGCGCAAATTGCACTATCACATTTACTGTCAATCAATTGTTCCATCTGATTGAAAGAATCAAAGAAAAGAAAGCAAAATAGTGGGGAGTGCAATTTGTATTTTAAGTGAGAATGCATCTAGTGAATTGACTATATTTAATGCCTTTTTTTGGCAGTATGACCTGTTCTACAACCAGCACAAAATCAGCCCAGCATTATACCTTCAGGATTTGAGATTTGCAGGAATCAATTACATATCTTCTCCTGAAATCGGCTTCTTGAAAAGTATAGGAGCTAAAGTGGACAAAGTCCGGACCAAACTTGTTTTGAGGTTTCTAGAACCTGAAGCAATTGAGCCTACAACCAACCAGGCATATGGTGAGATACTGAAAAACCTTGCGGCTATAAAGCCATTTGCTTCTGGCATTCTGGTCCCCAAAACATATATATGGCCAGTTAACAAGGATATGTATCTTATGCCACCTTCTACTCTTGTAACTGATGCTCACAAACAAGGCCTTGAAGTATATGCTTCTGGGTTCGCCAATGATTTCCCTGGCAGTTATAATTACAGCTATGACCCAACAGCTGAGTACTTGCAGTTTATTGATAACGGTCAGTTTTCTGTTGATGGTGTGCTCACAGACTTCGCTCCTACAGCATCCGAAGCAATTGGTATGTGATATCTGACATGTTACCAGTACTTGATTTGATTTATACTGAAAATTGAACTAGTTGTTCTATGCTTGTCGCTCTCCTCTAAAAGTTGTTATTCCTTTGCAGCATGCTTAGCACACAACAAAAATGCTAGCAAGCCTAAGAAAGGTGAGAATCCCATAGTTGGTTCCTCTCTCTTTTGAAGCTGTACCAAGTGGAGGCAGGATTTTAAGTTGGATTTTGGTTTCTGTTTTTACAGGGCACTCTTTAATAATTAGTCACAATGGTGCTAGCGGAGACTATGCAGGATGCACTGATCTTGCATATGAGAAGGCGGTCATGGATGGGGCTGATATAATTGACTGTTCAGTCCAAATGTCGAAGGATGGTGTAGCATTCTGCCTCGATTCAGCTGACCTTTTGGGCGATACCACTGCCATCACTACCTTCATGTCTCGATCCTCCAACATCCCTGAAATCCAACCCATGAAAGGAATATTTTCGTTTGATCTCACTTGGAGCGAGATCCGAAGCTTGAAACGTAAACTTCTCATAATACTTTCCATATTCTAAAATACAGTTAGTTTTTTTATTCTCGAATTTGTATGAATTAATACTAGCACTGAAAAAAAGGAATATTGTTGTCATTTCAGCACAACTGACGAGCCCACTGTCACAAGATATGGGAGGCTTGCCAAGAAATCCAGCAAATAAGAACAAGGGCAAATTCTTAACCCTAGCTGAGTTTCTTAACTTTGCCAAGGCTGAAGCAGTTACTGGAGTTCTAATCAACATACAGGTGAGACAAAATCTTCATGGCGCATCTTAATTTCAACTATTGTTAAGTTTCTGAGAGAAAAAAAATTGACAAGTAGTCTCTGAACTGTATTCATCAATGTTTTTGCTGTTTGAAACCAGAATGCACCCTACCTAGCCTCAAAGAAAGGTCTAGACATAGTAGGTGCTGTCACCACTGCCTTGAGCAACGCCACATTTGACAAGCAATCGACCCAGCAAGTTATGATCCAATCAGATGATACCTCGGTGCTGGCAAAGTTTAAGGAAGTCCCGTCATACCATAGAGTCTATGATATCATGGACATAATAGGTGATGCCCCAAAGCCATCGGTGGATGAAATCAAGAAATACGCAGATGCTGTTGATGTCCGGAGGCCCAGCATTTTCAAAAGCACAGCCTTTTTCCTTAGTAACTTCACCAAAGTCGTCGAGGAGATGCATGCAGCAAATATCTCTGTACATGTCTCCCCTCTATACAATGAGTACACCACCTTGGCATTTGACTTTTTTGCCGATCCTTTGGTAGAGCTAGCCACCCTTATCGAGGCCCTCAAGGTTGATGCAGTAGTGACTGACTACCCGGCTACAGCCAATGCTTACTTGAGTAAGTCTTCTAACTCCTGTCCCTCTTTCCCTAATTTTGTCAGTTCCTAATTAAAAAAGTCCCAAAATTTTATTACCACCACTACTTCAGAAGATTTATACATTTATCTTGCAAAACTTGAAGGAAGCCCATGCTCAGATCCAAGAAATACAAACCTAGAATACCCGATAAGTCCAGTGGAACCAGGGGCTTTGCTTGAAATAGCTGCGCCACAAACACTTCCTCCATCAGGAGCACCAGCTCCGGCTCTTGAGGCAGCCAGCATCGTAGACCCACCTCTTCCACCAGTTTCTAAGGAGGAAAACCCAGCAGCTCCTGCACCTGCAGATCAGAAGAAGAGTGAAAGTGGGAGGAGCACCACCAGTTTATGTCTCTCCTTAGTGTTGGCACTGGCCCTCAGCTTGATTCTAACAGTTCACTAACAATGAAGTACTTGAAGGCTTTTTGCCGGAATATTTTGTAAATGTTGTATGCCCCAGTTTGAGATTGTAACAAAAAAAAATTCCCCCAATCATCGGTAATTATATCTCAGTACACTTCATACCAGGAGTCTAGTTTTGATGGACAAAATACTTGGATGTACAATGGGAACATAAAATTCTTCCATAGAACAAGGGTTGAAAGCATCCTGCATCGAAAGCTTATTGTACGACACGACCTCCTTTTAATGCAGAGAAATGACAATAGTACCTATTAAGACACTTATATTTTTAAGCAATAAACAAGAGACATCCCATTGCTTGTAATACTCCAGAAAATTTAGGGAAAGTGGAGAGAGAGTGAAAAATAAATCAAGAATGAGCAAGTCAGATGATAATTTTATTCGAATATCATTATTTACAAAAAAATACTGTCTAGGTACAATTTCAGGGAATGACTTATGGTAGACTACTAGACTCAGAAAACCAAAAAACTTGTGATCCTATTTAAAATCATAACCGGTGTGTATTGATTTGCATGCGAAATACACGAGAGAATGACTAAATATTCCAATGTGACGACATATACAGTGTACAAAAGTTTGCATCATCATGATTTTTCTTAATTAATTCCCATTATTAACACACAAAAAAGGCTCACTTTAAGAAAAGGTAAATAAATGGCAACCTAAGCATAAACCATACACGATGCAGATTACTCGGGGGGGGAAAAAAATAAAAAAAAATCACTATAATTACTTTTACTAATTTTTTTTACCAAACAGGACATCATTACAAAGCAAATACATGAATGGAGGATCAAGTTGTGGAACTAAACTAACACTAGACATAACAAGATATTCCATTTATAACTTTACTAAACAATTAAACTAAAATAGTATGGCAGGTAGCAGGTTTACGACAGCTACATGAGTATTCATCAATGTTCAAATAAACTGAAGTCACTTGCTTTTCATCTTCTTCCATGAGGTTAGTTCAGGAGGTAACACACCTTCACTAGAGGAAAGCACAGCTTGTGCAGTCAACTTTCCAAGCCAACCATGGTAAAGTAATCCTCTGGCACCAAGACCTCCAATCAACCAATACTTAGAAGAACAATCTCCCCCTACAAGATCATCTATGGAACCTAAAAGTGGAAATGATCCTTGCGGAGTTAGAGGTGGCATTGCCCTGACACCTGCCTGTGCTCCTGTTAAAGTCCACTTGATTATTTGCGGATAAACCATACTTGCCTTAGGTAAAAGTTGTTGCAGAGTACCAGAGGCTTCTTCGGAGGAGACAATAGAAGAGAAATTTCTTGATCCCCATTCCCATGTTGACCCTAAAAGTAGCCTTTTAGGCCCCTGAACAGCAAGCCAAGCATCTGACAGGATCGAAGGACTATCTTCACAATATTCTTCACTGCATTACAGAATAAAGCATAACCATAACTTCATAACCACCCGTCCCACCAAAAAAAAAGAGAGATAAGGCATCACTTTGAAAATGATGGGAAAAAAAAAAGGAGATGAACATTTGATACACACGTATCCACATGCATAATCCCGTTACAACTTCAACAACAAAATGGGACATTTAGCAATATTTTGAAGTAGATGAATTTAGACACTTTATTTGGAAAATAGAGTGTGGGATGCCTCAAGGACAAGGGAAAACCTTTAAATTTTCAATATAAATTTTATCTAGATCATCTTTGTATTCATAATTGAAAAAATAACTACAGCTTTCAACCCAATTCCCCTTGTAAATTATTGGTATCCACAGTTTCTAATCCATTATTATTAATTGAATTCATACAAATTAGAATTTTCATTTCTCTACAGTGTTATGTACCAGATTTCGCACAGCCAATTAACACTTAATTAAGCACAAATTAAGGCAAAGCTTGAGTACTTAATTGATTAATGATTCGAATTACAGCTTAAAGAAGATAAGTATAGCTTTAGGCTATAATTCTCATAGAAGCTTAAGGCTACAAATCTCACAAAGTGTTTCACTCAATAATCTGGATCATTTCTACTTCTAACATACTACAATATTTATACTCAAAGCCTCTAATGACCACAGTCAGCTCTAAAGTGAATACATGTGACATGTTAACTAACTAAGAAAAACCATCAGTAGACATAGTTGAAGTTGATTGCTTTCCTTCCTTAACTTCTCTTTAATTAACTGTCTTGTTGCAAAGGATTGCTTCCTGCTACTGCCTCATGCTTTTGACCCTTGCTGTCCCCCTTTTTGCGCCTCGTGTACACCAATAGAGGTGGTTGACTCGGGCTATTGACCCCATTGACCTAGTCCATAACATCACTCCCCCCTTTGAGTTTCACCTTGTCCTCAAGGTGGAAGGAGGGAAACCTCAGATTGACCGCTTCGAACTCCTCCCATGTAGCTTCATATTCCGGCAGCCCATTCTAGGCGAGCAAAACTTTGAGGATGAGGGAAGATCCCTTCTTTCTCGGCCGCATATCCAGGAGCTCTTCCGGTTCGACCAAAAGCTCCAACTCGGGTGAGTGTGGGAATGGTGGATGACTTTGGAGGTTACCTAACGCTCTCTTGAGTTGAGACACATGGAAAACGGGATGAATTTTGCAATCCACTGGTAGCTGGAGTTTGTAAGCTACCCGGCCAATTCGCTCGAAAGGGCCATAAAACCGGGATGCCAACTTAGGGCCATTTCACGAGAAATTTCTGTCTGTACGGTTGCAGCCTCAAGAAAACCTTTTCGCCCACCTCGAAGTTCTCCTCCCTTCTCTGTTTATCCACATTGTTTTTCATCGCCTGCGGGGCACGATTGACGTTCATCCACAATTCATCTAGGATGCCATCCCTTTCCTTCAAGCTCTCCTTCAAACAGCGGACCATTGTTTCCCCCATACGCCACAATTTCGGGGGATCCCTTCCATACTCGATTTTGAACGGAGTCATCTTTGTCGTTAGGGGTGTACACCGGTCCAAAACCGGACCGGACCTAGACCGGACCTGTTTGGATCGGGACCTGAATTGGTGAATTTTGAGGACCGGAGACCAGACCTGATTCAACAGGTCCAGTTCCGAGTCAGACCTGAAATCAGGTCCGATCCGGGTTTGGACCTGAACAGACCTGTTTTTTATTTTTAAGCCCAAAATCAATTTCAACCCAAAATAATACTTAACCTAAAAAAAAAAAAAAAAAAAAAAAAAAAAAAAAAAAAAAAGGAGTAGCGCGTTGTTTGCTTCTAGATTATACAACTTGATTGTGCATACTAAGATTGAGCCCAAAGTTTATGGCCTTTATGCTATTATAACAGATTAGATGCTGCTGAGTCTATGAATATCCAACGAGCAAGGTATGATTATAAATTAAATTCAGTTCATACTGTCATGATTATAAAAACTTGACAGTTATACTATTATCAATTATCATAATTATCATCATCTGTAGTTTAAACCCTTATAATTAATCAACATTCATCATTCAAAATTCTACAGAAAAAAATAAAGCTGATTAATCGTAAGATGACGAACACAACATAATTATCAAAAAACTAATTATAATCAGAAATATTGAAAAAAATTAGATCTACATTCTAAAGTCTAAACTAGATCTAGAATACAAAAACCTCAAATTGAAGATATGTACAACCCTACCGACGAATTTAAAAACCTCAAATTGTCGGGAAATCTAGATGTACGGTGGTCGATGGGTGGGTTTCTAGATCTTGAGGGATGGTGGGATAGTCGGAAATTCTAGATCTACGGATTGTCGATGGCAGCTGGCAGAGGAAGAAGATGATAAGTTGATGATCTACGCCTCTACGGACTGCCGATGGCGAAGCTAAGCCGCCATGAGTCCATGACTGTTAGCTAGTATGCGATTGTTGGCTAACGGTGTGCGAGGCCGGCGATCTTTAGTGACGGTGGAGTGGGCTAAAGTGAGGGTAAGGAAAAGAGGAGAAGTGGAGAAATGAGAGACTGAGAGGAAGAAGACCGAGAGTGCACTGAAGTATTAGGGTTTAGGGTATATATATATAATTCCGGGTTTCAGGTCCAAACCTGAAAACCCCAGTTTTAGACCTGATCCGGACCGGGACCGAAAACCTTGAATTTCAAGGACCGGGATCGGACCTGATCCGGGAGATTCAGGTCCGGTCCCAACAGGTCCGGTTCAGGTCGTTTTTCAGGTCCGGTCCTATTTATGAACACCCCTATTTGTCGTGGTGTGAGACGAAGTGTTGTACGAGTATTCCGCCTATGGCAGCCAACGAGCCCAATTTTTTGGTTGCTCAGCAATGAAACAACGGAGATATGTCACGAGGCACTTGTTGACTATCTTCGTTTGCCCATCCGTTTTGGATGGTAGGACGTACTCCGCTTGAGATGAGTACCTTGCAAACGAAAAAATTCCTACCAAAAAGTGCTCATGAACACCTTATCACGATCACAAACAATGGAGTTGAACAATGGACGCCAGAAACCCATGGAGTCGAACAATTTCCTTCACAAAAACATCGGCCACCTTAAGGGCATTAAAAAGGTGTTTTAGCCAAATAAAGTGACCGTATTTCGAAAGTCAATCCACCACTACGAGCACCGTGTCGATACCTCGTGACAATGGCAGTCCCTCCACAAAGTTCATAGAAATATCTTCCCAAACGGCTTCGGGAATTGGTAGTGGTTGGAGCAACCCAAACGGACCTTTAGGTGTCGTCTTGTTTCTTTGACAAATCTCACATTCCCGAACATATATGCCGACATCTTTTCGCATTCCGTACCAAAACCAATCGGCGATAACTCGTTGATCTCGCTGTCATGACCTCCTACAGGGGAGTTGCGATATTCCTGCAAAAGTAAAGGAATAAATTTTGAAGTGTTAGGCAAAACGATTCTATCTTTGTAAAACAATATACTGCCTTCAATATGGAAGTCTTTGGGCCCCTCTTTCCCTTCTTTAAGGCCCTTAGCAAGCTGGCCAACCACTTGTCTCCCTCCAATTCTCTCTCCAGGTTGGCCCAATCCACATGTTGGGAGTGGATCATGGCCCCAAATTCGGCCCCCCGTTGCTTCTTCTTTCTTTAACTTTCCCCTTCCTGATTATCAACTCTTTATCCTTATGCCACCCTATTCACGGTGCATGGCTTATACTGGATGACAAAGTCAAACCCCACCAACTTCCGCAACCACCGTTGATACTCACCACTAACCTCTCATTGTTTCGTCAGGAATTTGAGGCTGGTCCGTACGAATAACAAAGGGACGGCCCAGCAAATAATGTCGCCACTTCGCCACCGTTAAGGATATCGCCATTAATTCCTTTTCATAAATGGATTTTCCCCGGGCTCGAACCCCCAACAACTTGCTACAGTATGTGATTGGGCAGCCATTTTGCATCATCACCGCTCCTAACCCGAACCCGGAAGCGTCACTTTCCACCACGAACCCCTCATTAAAGTTGGGTATCGCCAACACCGGGGCGGTGGTCATGGCGGTCTTCAAACGCATTCGTGGCCGCCTCCGACCAAATGTAGCTATCTTTTTTTAATTGTGAGGTAAGGGGGCCGGCAAGGGGGGGTTAGTGCTTGACGAACTTGCGATATTAGCCAGTTAACCGCAAACTCCATTCAAGAATGGAGCGAACCTTGTCTTCATCCATGGAAACCCCCTGTTTGGATATCACATGGCCTAAGTAGGCTATTTCTTCTTTCCTAAATTCATATTTTTTTAAAATTGGCATATAATTGATTTTTGCAAAACCAATTTTAAATGACTTGTATGCTCTTCCACCGCCTTACTAAATACCAAGATGTCGTCAAAAAAGACTAACACGAATTTCTTCAAGTAAGGCCGGAAAATGTCGTTCATGAGAGATTGAAAAATGGCTGGTGCATTTGTGCGACCGAAGGGCATTACGAGGAATTCATAATGTCCTACATGAGTACGGAACGTCGTCTTGTGAGTATCACTCGGCCATACTCGAATTTGGTGGTATCCGGACTTCAAGTTGAGCTTAGAGAAAATTGTCCCCCCATGTAGGTCGTCCAATAACTTATCAATGATGGGGATCGGAGATTTATCCGGAACGGTTTCCTTGTTGAGTGCCCGATAATCTACACAAAAACGCCATGATCCATCTTTCTTCTAGACTAGTAAAACCGGGCTAGAAAAAGGACTTGTGGATGGTTTGATGATGTCGGACTCGATCATTTCTCGAATGAATCTTTCTATTTCGTCCTTTTGGACTTGGGGGTACCTATAGGGCCTAACACTAGTTGGGTTAGTACCCTCCATGAGAATAATAGAGTACTCATGGCCTCTATTTGGAGGTAGCCCACTAGGCATATTGAAAACCCCTTAAAACTGACCCAACAACTCCACTAAATAAGATGGTGGGCCTGCTGGATTTGGGCCCAATTCATTTGCTTCAACCTTGTTCAATTCCACCAAAACTCCTTGTCTTTCCTTCCGTAGCACTCTTATCATGGCTTTCAAAGTTACTTGAGTTTTCTCAAAGTGTGGGATCGGGGATCTCCGGTGAGAGTGACCGGAACACCTCCAGTCGAGAATTTCATGACATGGGTTCGCCAATTTGTGACCACGGCTCCGAACTTCTCAAGCCATTGCACCGCTAAGATCACCTCGACGTTTCCCAAAGAGAGTGGGAAAAAATCTTCCTTGATTGTGATGCCACCACTCAACTCGACTTTCACTCCTTTACAAACCCCACTTCCTCTAACAATATCCCCATTTCCTAGGGAAACCGAAAACTCATTACCTTGAGTAACGAGAATACTTGCTTGCTTCACCACCGAAGTTGCTAAGAAAATGTGTGTGGCTCCCGGGTCGATCATTACTACGACTTCTTAATCCTTAACTACCTTCTTAACTTCATAGTCTTCGAGTTATGGATTCCTATCACCGAACAAAGGGATATTTCCCCTTGACCTGAGGTCGGAAGGTTATCGAACATTTTTGGGCCCTCCTCTTCGACCTCCTCCACCACTCCCGCCATCATGAGAACGAAGCTCCTTCCTCTTACAACGATGCCCTACACCCCATCTTCCATCGCACCGAAAACACAACCCCTTAGCCCTCCGTTCTTGCAAATCAGATTTGGTAAGTCGTCTCGTCTCACCCCCTGACTTCTGGGTTGACCCAAGATTATATCGGCCCATATTGACTGATCCTTGAGATTCATGGGCTTTGGCCAGCTCTTGAGTGGCCCACTACTGGCAGCCCCTAAGTTTGTATTAGCCCACCCTTGTTTAATGAAGTGTTGGGCTTGTTGAAACTGAACGTGACCCGACAGTAACACCTCCTCCCTTCCAACCCCCCATTATCTTCTTCCCAGCACTCACTCTATTTTTTTCTTTTACTGTAATCCCCCGTAATTTTGTGAAATTTAAATTATATTTTAACATATTATGTGAATATTTATGATAATTTATTTACATAATTTATTCTACTATGATTTAAGCAAATAAATTTAATGTTTATAAAGTTAATAAAATTATTTCACTACCCATATTTTAATCATGAATTATTATGCAAGCCCAACCCATTAATTACTAAGTCTATTCTTTTATCTAAAACCCACTCACTTTAAGCCCAAGTAACAATCCTAGTTTTATTAGAACTAGGAAACCCAAAACCCCACTTCTTGTTATTTAAACCCACCTAAAATTTTCCACCTTTTCACTCCAAAATCTCACGTTCAAGTGCTGCTGCTACTGCCTTCCTTCTTGTTCCTCCTATTTCACGATCAACAAAAAAACGCTGCTGCTACACCAGCCACCACAGCCACCGAGCACCACCACCAGCAGCGTCCGCCTGCTGCCGCGCCGCCCAGTACACCACCAGCAACCTCCTTGTGGTTCTTCTTCTTCTCTTTTTCCTTCTTCCTTCCTTCTTATTTTTGCCCTAATCCTTCATTGTTTTGATAATTATTATTATGATATTGTTAATTGATTTTAATGGTTTAATCATGTGATAATTTATCTTAAATTATGAGTTTTATGAATTTTATTACACTTTAAAATTTCAGAAATTTTGTTTATAAAATTAGGGCTTAAAAATGTTAGTTTTCATGTTTTGGGGTTTTAAACTGTGTTCTACAAGTTATTTAAT